GAAGTGCCCTTTTAGTTGTCAAATAATACGTGATAAATCACATTTCCAACGATGCTTTTTGTAGGAAAATCACGAGATTCAGGTAATTTATAGTTTATATTTATAAAAATTTTGGGAAATTTTTGGAATTTAGAAAAATATTTTGAAGAAATGGCGATAATTTAAGATATCCGGAAAATTTTTTGGCTTCACGGAAAATTTTTGTATGTCGGGAAAAAATTTTTGACCCCTAAAATGGTACACTGACCGAAATTTTTTTGGCGACGGGGGGGGGTCGCCAAAACAATTTTGCAGTGAAAAAAAAATTTTTCAGTAAAGGTGCCCTTGGTGTGCGTCCTCCCCCCTTTGCCCTATTATCGTTCCGGCGTCCCTGGTTCAACATCAAACAAAAATATTCTATTTTGTGGCTATCATAGCCGATCGAGCTAGCTTCTAGACCATTATATGCCGACAGACTATGCGGTTTAGACCTGTAACTGATCTCCGCATGAGTTAATCTCTCGTTTTCGTTTTCAGTTAGACATTTCGTAATTAAGATTTCGCATCATTTTATAGTAAAAAGTAATTAGTAAGATTAATTTTGCCGGTAGGATCGATATGGAAAATTAGCTAATCCACAGGCTAATCTGAGAATTATGATTAGCTATATCCCTAGAATGCACGCTTTTGGAAAGTTTGTCACCTTGGTTACAGAGTCTCGTTTTCATGATTGAGACCTTGGACCTTAGTTGGTGTCACATGCATACACTAAAGCGAGGCTTTAACTTTAAGGGTGTAGTTGTTCACAAAGCTTCTCTATGACGTCTTACCACGCATTTGTCGAACGTTAGAAATAGATAAAATTGCTATTATTAGAATTTAACTATGCAATGTTCACACCATGACGTACCCACGCGATTCGTAGCGATTTCAAACAGGGTGTTGTAATATTCATTTCGGAATTGATTGTGCGGGGTGGGAGTTATGAGTGCAGGGTTCAAAAACTACACTCTCTTTGCATTTTCCTGACTTCTTTATCATATTAGGCAAAGAAAGGCAGCACTCGAGTTATGCCCATCTTCCATGATATTCCACTGCCCTCTGCTATAATTAATTAATTAAACTCAATTTTGTCAAGTATATATTTTTGTTTGTAACGCAACCAGAACACAGACGTACAACTATAAATTTCGACTTTTCGCCGTTAATAATTTCTTCGGACTGTTTAAAAGTTACAGTGGATTCTGACAGACATAATTTCCATACTAATTGTCGGCAGTAGAGAGGTTAAAAGCAAATATTGTTTATTATAGATTTAAATATCCGGAAATAACTCTGGATCTCGTCTACCAACGCCAAAAAAAAATTATCGAAATATTATCATCACAAAGACAATTAAGTCAAGAATGCGGAATTTTTTGTCTAACATGAATGATTTCGAAATTATAGAATGCCTAGAAAATATTTAAACGAAACGTTTCATGCTTTGTTAAAGTGTGTTAATTTACAAAGTATACTGAAAGTCTGGAATTAAATGTCTGTTGTTTTATTTCGCATATTTGTGCAGTGAAATTTTATATACAGTATGGCTACATTGAAACTGTGAGCGCCCACGCTTTTCAAAAAGACAATTATCGATTCACAAGGTCGAGGGCCTTTAAAGATGCACAAATAGACTGAAATTTAATCAGCAAATATCACATTCATTGAATGCTAAGTGAGCATTATTGCCAAAACCGCGGATAATTCCTCTTTGTCTAGTTGTAGTCGTGTCAAAACATTCAAGAATGCGAATGTTTTGACAGGAAAACATTACAGGTGTTTCTGGGCGATAGGAAGGATCCGCGTGGTTTTGGTAATACGGAATATAGGAAAAATTTAGCAGTGGCATCAATAGTTGTTAGTCTACATGAGTATTAGTATTCCATCAGCTTAAACGAAACATAAAAACTTAAAACTTAGATGCAAATTTATAATTGAATTAAAGGTAGCTGCATGATGAATCACGCCGATAAAAAGTTTCTAAAATTCTTCATGTCTCGACAGGAAATCATAGACCTTATGTGTCGCTAAACCAAAACTAACAACATACAGTTGTCCGGGTCAATCACCGTTTACTTGGGAAATAGATATAAGTAGGCCTATTATATTTTTCAAGAGTGGACCCCACTATACGGATATTTCCAGTGCCTGCAACTACAACTGCCTAGGCTATATATTTTTTAATAATCCCTCAATTGTCGATACAGATATCAATACAAGCCATAAAGTTTTTTCTTCATTTTATACTAGTCCTTATTAGACAGACAATATTTTGTGACGAGACGAAGGCCTTCACTCGAAACGTCGTTCTTTTTGTATTTTTCTGGCTTCCCTATCAATGAAACTTTTATATATAAAATCATCTGGCGTTAGCTAGGTTAATGGTCGTCAGTGGATATGCATGACAATTAATGTTGTAAATTTCACACGAATACAACATTAGAATTGATATAACATCATGTAACTTACGACAAGCTCTGAAACATCGTACAGAGTCTTCGAGTTCTTCATTTTCACAATATTTCAACTTCTGTGGACACAACGCACATCCGCCGCTCAGAAAATCACTTTTAAATGTGCCTGATGGACATGAAGCGTTTGTCTTGATACAATTCCATAACACTATTAATAAATACCACTGCCTAATATAAAGAACGCCCTTAAACCAATTTGTGTGCGCCATGACTAATATCCTATCGTTATGTAAACTGAAGTGTTCCGCTTTTAATACAAGAGTATTTGTGATCATTTGACACAAGACGATAAGGCGCCAAAACAGGAAATTTTACTGTGACGTTTTGAGGGCAAAGGTTAACACTCAGTGTCTAACTTTGCGAATTGCGACATACTTACACAAATTGCCTTATTAATTCAAATATATATATATATATATATATATATATATATATATATATATATATATATATATATATATATATATATATATATATATATATATATATATATATATATATAGTTATATAAGTTGACCACCGATCGCGGACTTGTTCCGCGATGGGAGGAGAAGAGGGCCAGCTATATATATCCTCACATTCTTGTTGATAATTAAGTAAATACTTATCACCATATATTGCATGTGGGCGTGAATGGGGCGGACTTATTGCTGTGTAAATATATTACGAGCGTGCTGAATTGCATGGCTTTTTGTAAGGTTTTGAAAAGGGACTAATTTTTACAATGACATTCAGAACATATAGTATAAATCTAAAGTCAGTCAAGAGATGGTTAATGACAAATTAGGAAAGTATAAAGCAATTGCAAAACAAGATATTTGAGGAGATTTTTCAGAATTTGAATTTCGTTATCTTTGTTAGGCATTGCCTCCGAATCCATGCTATTCGCGATGAAATTAGATGGTTTGGATGCAACTATACCTAAAAAATAGTTAATCGCCACAACGAAAGCTTTTTTACATCATTGGCACTACCTAAACTGGCATATATACTACTCGCATACATACAGTAGATAGTTCAATTGGAAATTAGAACCAGCGCGATGTACAATAACTTATAATAGCAGCTGTGTGTCCAATATAGTATGTGAATTTAATTATAACGAAGTATTTTAACACAGTCATGGTCAATTCTCCTATATAACACGCTCACGAAACTCCCGCAGAGAGGGGATTTCCCCTTTCACACAGAAAAATAGTTAGGCTAATTTTTACTAAATTACTAACGAATTTACTAGTAGCAAGAAATAGTAACGAAGTTACTAACAAATGTTTTTATACAAAAGAATACGGGATGTTTTTAATGACTACGGACAACAACTATCAAATAAATTTCAAGGAAAATGTAGTTGAAGTCCATTTTCATTGCGCAATTGAACAACGTATTAATTACGTCAGCCTATTTCTATGAATATTTATTTTGAATTTTTCTCTTTATTTGAGCCTAGAAGTTACAAATAGTGTTCAAGTAAATGTGAAACATGCGCCATATACTTCATTATTTGATACATATATGAGCAGTCAGTCAAGAAACACGAATATAGTACTGCATTGTAATCCTATAGACCATGTTTATATATATATTGTTCTTTGTATATTTCTTTGTATATAAAAGCACGCAATTTCAATTCCAATCTGGCGACATAATTCGTTTATGAAATAAACAGTTTGCATTATATATCCTTTAACATATAGGGCCAGGGGGGCTTTGGGGAAAAAAATGACAAATAGTTAAAACTATATTGAATCCAAAAAGGTCGTAATATGAAACGTGTCACGGATAGGAATCGAATTTACAATCACGATTAAATTACATGTATCAATTTCATTAAAAATTAATTGCACTTACTACAGGCGATAAAACAACGTCGAGTATCATCAATTTCCTGATCTTCACATTGCTTCAATAACTTGGGACATTTCGCGCAGCCGCCACTCAGGAAATCGCTTTTATATTGGCCTTTCCCGCAGTCTTTATCGGCGTTGTAAGCAACTCCAATGCCAATGTAGATTAGACATAGGTATGACAGGAACCACGGAAATATTGAGTGCATCTCGCCGGCAGGACCACGGTGGTACAAACGATTTTGAATGGCTATATATTGTCTGTAATAGATATTAGATATGGCGCGGATACCGAGCGAATTCTGTGGTTGTTATTTAAAGGAAGCCATTCTATGATTAAGATACCCTTGTTGCCTGGTATTACCGCTCGATGTAAAGGTTTCATGAATTTTGCGATGCCAGGCGATCGATAACGATTTACCACAAATCTGCCTTTCGGAGACCATTCAGTGTAGTGCTCTACTGTATGTGTGATGACGAATGACGACGTAGTTTGCCTGTCCATTAAAATAAACATGGGAGTGGCATTCGGCATTTCCGTTCAAAATGCAGAATCATGCTGACGCATTGGAAGAACTTCGACAATTCTGCGCGCAACATGCTGCCGTGACGTCAACACGCTGATGTAACCCGAAAATAGGCTATGGCCAGTGAAAGACGATTTCATGCACAACTCAAGAACGATTTGTAACGTAACACGTTGCTGAATCTGAATCAAATCAGTTTCGTGTACGTGGATTTGCATTCAAAATCATTGTGTTTATAACATCGCACTAAGCATGGCGTGGCGGTTTTAGCTAATTAAATTGAATGATATTACATACCTGATGATAATGGATAATTGTGCCAAATGGTCGTTATACGACAAACCGTGGAGAGTATATTTGTTTGTTTGACGGGATGTAGCGAAATATTTGCCGTTAAAGCGTGTGTGTGTGTTTGGTGGAGTTGGGGAAGGGAGGAGGCCGGGAATTAGCGGTCAAATCATCTGAATAAGGTGGTCGCAAAGTGGTCTTTTGAGTGAAATGTGCCATTTTTCCAAAATGGCAAAATACAAATTTTTACACCCTACTTAATCATATTTGTATCATTTTATTGCTCAAAAATACCTAACAAACCTGAAAATTTAGCAAATTCCATAAATTTACACACACTGTAGCAACGCCAATCGCAACCGTATGAGTTTGCCTGTATAAAAGCGTTCTAGGGTTTAAATAATTTATATTTAAATCAGTTTTTACCCCTCCCTTTCAAGTATACTGTATTGACGTTTTTGTATGTTCTTTCTTACCGCTGGCCAGTCTTTTCATTCTTTTTTAAATCAAAATTCGAAGCCATATTTGTGTCGAAGCAATGAAATTTTTAATAACTTTTGCTCCCTAGTCTGTTTATGCTTTTCGCCAAATTTACTTCTCTTTGTGGACTAATTGTCTTTTGACAATGGTAAAGAAAGGATCGAGGAGGGGTAAAGAGAAAATTCCATGGGAATAGGCTTGTAAATGATGCAAAAAAATGCTTGTGATGAATTACAGTATTGAGCAACCATGTGTTTCTAGTGAATCGGACGTTGCTAATCTCTCAGAGAAAAGATCAGTCATGTTGCTTTGATGCTACCAAAAATAACAGGTTACGGTTTCATTGATGTGGAAATACTAAATGAACTTTTCCAACAAATCCCATGTAAGTTATCTAGAGAATCTATTCCTAATCTTGAAGATATAATCCTGGTAGTCCGCAGCACGAAATCTGCCAGACGCTTAGATTTTGAGATGAAGTCCTCAATTTTCGGACTAGGAATTGATTACAGAAATGAATAAAGGAGTATTGATGGAATCATAAAATACAATGTTTTCTACGTCATAGTCTCTCTATAGGTGGGTTCACCGTGACGTCACAAAATTTGACCTCCAACCGTTCGGCCAAAAATGAAATGCTAAAATAACAACAAGATTTAGCCAAAATGTTTCGATTCTTTTTGAGGTCATATTAGAAGCCACGTCTTAATCTCAAAGATGTTTTTTAACTTAATTGTGTGTATAACATAATTTAAACGGCCTTTGGAAAAAATGCTGACTCAGCAAAAAATATTGTCAAATCGCCGTAACTGGAGGAGAAATACGTGAATCGACTCAAACATTTTTGTGAACAGTACAATCCTGGGAAAAATTATTGTGGACAGCGCACGCGGAAATGAAAATA